GCAAGGGCAGTGGCCCCTTGGTGGTTGCCACAAATTCCCGCATGTACCTCGACTAGTACCTCCTGTGCCTCTGTTCGTCGCAAACACTTTAAATATGGCATTGTGAAACCTCGCTTGTAGAGCAATCCATCGATGATGACAAATGAGGCTGCCTGAATTTTTAGCCTTCTCGCCGTGAAAGCGTCTTCCGGCAATTTGTTCTTTGTTAGATATTCAAACAGTGGGTCCATCCAACTCTCCTCATGCTCTACATTCATAACATCAGTCGTGTGGGATGCTAGGTTGCCGCAGAATTTGTACGCTTGCTGTGTGAGGCAGACGTCTGGGGTTAGCAGATGCGAGCTTAGCTAGCGCGTCCGCCCGCTCATTGTCCTTTCGCGGAACCTTAGTTATCTTAAACCTGGTGAACCCCTTCTGCAAGTTTTTGACCTCTATTAAATATGCTGCCATCTTTCCGTCTTTTGCTTCGAATTCTCCCGTCACTTGCCCGATTATCAATTGAGAGTCGCTGCAAATTTCTACTGAAGTTACCCCGAGTCTGGCTGCCAATCTTAAACCCGTGATCACTGCCTCGTACTCGGCATCGTTATTTCTAGCTGAGAATTCAAAACGCAGCGAGTACTCCAACTCTTCCCCATTCGGCCCTATCATTATGATCCCAGCCCGGATCCTTCGTCGTTTGAAGATTCGTCGACAAAGATTTTACAATCTACCTATCCCCCTAGTGGGTGCTCGGGCGGAAGGGTGAGTTCAACGATGAAGTCTGCTAGAGCTTGTGCCTTAATAGCCGTCCTTGGCCTGAATTCAATATCAAACTCACTTAACTCGATTGCCCATTTCAACATCCTCCCAGAGGTCTCGGGCCGATGTAGGATCTGCTTGATAGGTTGGTCGGTCATTACTTGCACCGTATGAGACTGAAAGTAAGGCCTCAGCTTTCTAACCACTACAATCAATGCAAACACCAGCTGTTCAGCCAGGCTGTATCTTTCCTCCGCGCCCCTTAATACTTGGCTCACATAGTAGACTGGTTTTTGATCAATGATTGAGTTACCCCCACTCTTCATAATCTATCTACATTGGTCGCAAAATTTTCCACATTTGTATCAAGAATTATGCAATTGAGTTAGCCGAACAATATATTTATTGGAAATGAGTAGATTTTTGTGTAAATCATATAAATAAATAAGCCAATTCTCTAGGCTTCTTTGCAATAACCAAGAGTACTTTTAGAAGATAATTTTTCATTACTATCACTGTCAAGTAATTTATCACTTTCATTATTGCTTTCATTTGATTTTGATCTCTTTTTCCCACCGGTCATTTCCTGAGCAGAGTTGTAATATCTTCACAAAATCTTGGATACCATTTCATAGCTTCTCTTTTCCACTGCAGCAAGAGGGTAACGGGAGAAATAACAATGGTTGGTTTGTACATACTATCAAAATGTAATGATCCAAGGAAAGCTAAAACATGGATGGTTTTACCGAGATCCATCTCATCTCCAATTATTCTGCCTGCTCTATGACAATGTAGTTCCCATAACCACTGTACACCAACTTGTGATAGTCAAAAAGCTTGCTAAAAATTGTTTTTGGGTAATCAGTCTCCCTCTAGCATTACAAATGAAGATCCTTCTTCCTTCGCATCTTCGATATCTTCCAAATTGTCTTCTCCATAACCAGAGGTGAATAATAGTTTTATGCAATAATTATTGGTGAAAAACAATTTTGTGCAAGATATCGCGCGAAAGGTCAACGGAGTGCAAAAATTCGAGTTCTGGCAAAATGAAATTATGCGGATGTTAAATTGTAGAGATTGTGATATGCAAAACATAGAGTTCAATCTGTGCTACAGGTCTGTTATATGTTAAATTACATCGATGTAGTAAACAACCCATGATCATTCAATTGTTACTAGTCAAGAATCACATTCATTTCGAAAAATGGCACAAAGGAATGAAATTCAAAAACATAGATAATATGGAAATGGAATATCCAAAGTTACGGTAATATTGGCTAGAAATTTTGATATGAACATACTACCTCTAGTTATTTTGCGAAGAAATTCTGAGTCACGAATTGTAACACCCCTAAATCTAATTACGTAGACTTGAAAGTATTATCATTTAATTTCCCCTTTGAACCATAAATGCGGAATACTGAATATAAATTTTTCTTCATCATAAAAATATTAATGACCCTCACTTAAGGGAGGAACTTTAGAAAACTTTTATATTTAATAAAGATATAAGATAATCAAATTAAGAGTTAAACTTATTTCAAATTGAATCAATATTGAATGAATTAGTACCGAGTCCGTCTCATCACAAATAGTCGTCTCGAATCATCATATCTTCATCATCTAAAAATGAGGAGGGATAACGCGAAATGAGCTAAAGCTCAGTAAGCAAACCCATGCACATGATGCATACTGATGATATGCATATGCATTATTTTAAAACAAAAGACATTTCTCAATATGAATTCCCATTCTTTCATTTATTTAAAAACATTAATGCCATGAGCTCAATTGATGTATCCCCTATAGTCAATCAGAATGTAGTGGGACATGTTATTTGGAACCCGATCGAATTCTACCAATAGTACCGCAAATCAATTAATATTAACATTAACATTGAATATTTATCATTCATCATTGGTCATACGCGCCAATCCCCCGGGCCCCATTTTCCACTCACATTTTCATGGCATAAACATACATCTTGTAAAAAAAACATTCAGGATACATATCTTTAAACATTCATTGAGTCATGACATTTGAAAATATTGTATTTGTTGAAACTTCGTGTATGCTTATTGATGCATTTACGTGCATGAGTATGCATGAAACATTTATAATATAAAACGTAATAATTAAACATCATGTTCACATAAAAGCAAATTTATGTAACACATTCATACATTTAATAATATCATGTGCCATGAAGATAAAGGGAGGTTTACTTACATGATGTCCTTGACAATTTATTTTTAAAAAGGTCAGTGGCAAAGTCCTTAGTCGCCCTAGTTTATAACCATTTACTTGGAAACTTCAATAAATTAAAGTTCACTCTTTAAACATGATCCATAACATTTGTCTATTAAGTTAGATCTCAATTATATGCTCGAACTGTAAATTAAAACTGTAGAAAAGAGTAAAAGTTAGATTTTAAGTTAAAAACATTCTTAACTCATAAGGTACTGTTTGGTTACATTATATCTACTACATTAATTTATGGATATTAAGTTCAGGATAAGGATACACTAACATTTTAAGGATAAAAGATAGCAAGATAACGATGATCATTAACTATGAAAGAGAAATTTGGTAAAGAGGATAACAATATTTCAATTATCCTATGCATCATTCAAAAATTCGTACAAAATGAATTACTTAAAAGAACATAATAAATCCTTGCAAGATACTAGTTAAAAATACTGTGATTTAGAAGTATATGCTGAATTGTTAACTTCAAAATTCGGATTAAGGGCCATATTTAATTTAGTAAAAATATCAAAGCCACTGTAAAAAAAGAATGGAAACTAATTAATAAACGTGAAATCAAGAATTGTCAATTATCACAATTGGGCCTTAGAGAGGAACGATCAAGAATTAATCCCAGGGAATTCAGTAATCACATTAAATTTAGATGTCAACAAACCATCTAAACTTTTAATTGGCTCCATTAACGAAAATTCACGCCTAAAATAGATGCCAACCAATTTAATATTAAATCAATTTACTATTAAAAGGAGAAAATAGGTTATTACCGCAAATGTTTAGATTCCAATTCTAATTATAAAGATAGTATAAATATCACATAATATATTATAAATTTAATGAAATTATATTTATCTTTGATTTAGAATTACTAGTCAAGTTGATTGTTTAGAACATCCAAGTTACATTCCATTACAACAACATAGATAGTCAACACAAAATAAAAATAATATTAATGTAATTAAATTAAATGGACATGATAATCACGAAAATTAAGAGCACAGCATTACTCGACTCTCGTTGAATGTCAAACACTAGGATTACCTCAATGTAATCATTATGACATGATTGCCAATGATGGATATTCTCAATTCCTCTTTCAATATTATTGTAGCAACTAAATTAATTTTGAAATTGAATTCCATATGTTTTGCTACTGAATTTAATGCCACACATTTTCACAGCATTGGAAAAAGTTTAACTTGCAGTACTTTTGGGATTCATTTGGGGGTTTGAAGTATTTTGGGTTATTATCTGAATTTAATAGTATAAAATGAATTATTATATATTAATATGGTATAAATGATTTTTTTCCCTATATTTAAAAAACTATAAAACATAAGTGCGACAAATTATTTTCCATCATTTTAAAGCACTCAAACAGAATATTTTTTACAGAAATCATAATCAAGGACGAAATGTGCTGATTAATGAAATGATGAAGATAAGAATTTGAAAAACAAAAGTTTAAAAATATAAGAATCTATGCTCACAATGCAACCAAAAAGTATATATACTGACTTGGCTTAAAACTGCTTATCAGGACAAATCCACTTCCATTCTGAATTCTAATTGAAGCACAGATTCAAGAGAAAAAAACAAACTTCGGCATAAATATGATGCATGCACATAGTGATATACCTAAACATCATTTTATTAACCTCCTACATATATCGTTATGAAGTTACAGAGTCGGGGTACATGCCATGGGAGGCCAAACCTTACACTCGATATCATTTGCTACCAAAATCCCCTCAAAAGTGCAGAAATAAATTACAACCAATCACCAGGACAGAAAAAAATTGACTGTTCTATAAAACAAACCGTAAAACAACCACAGTGCTGCATACCAGCCTTCAACTTCCATAAATCTCAGAACTTTTTCTATGCTTTCTTCATTCTTCAGAATTCGTGACCCCCCCTTTTTCTGCAGCAATTTCCATTTTTTTTTTTTCTTTTCAATTTATATCCATTTTTTTTATTTCTTTTCGATTTATATCCATTCTAAAAACAGTCAATAATAGCATAACAATACAGAGAACCAACCAGCAACCTTACTTGCAGAGTTTTATGGTTTCCCTAGCAGGAAGGAAAGCTGTATCTAGATTTCACTTACTACTGAAGAAAAGGAAATCTGGGTGATTGACCTGCAGCAATTTTAGCCAATTATCAGCAGCCTGAAGGAGAGAGGTCACCAGTTCGCGCTGATATCCTGCATTTGGGGTCCACAATGATACTTTATATTTATAGGTGGCTAGCCCAAAAACTGGCAATGAAATTTTGGGAACACCATCCTCCCTCTCATTTGAATATGAGACAAGTGGAGTATGTATAGTTTCACACCCTGAAAATAGAACAAAGGCAAATATCAAAAACAGGACGGTGAAGATATCTATCAAAATGCAATTATAATCATGCTGAAAGTTAAAAGTGTTCAGAAGTTACTTGACTAAATGAAGTTTAAGGCATGCAAAGAAGAGAAGAGTCCAAGACGACTTAAGAAAAGCAATCAGAAAACTAAGAGGAAAGACAACATGCAATATATACTAAATTGGAAAACATGTTATCCTTCTGTTTACCATTGGGAAATAAAAAACCTAGAACGCTTCAGACATAGTAATGGACAAAATGTAAATTTAAGATTAAAAACAGAAAATAAAACAATAATGACGAGCATACTAAGGAGGGTGTATTCATTTAAGAATTCTAAATACTTTTAAAGACATTTAAGGATTTAAAAAGTATAGGGGCATTCAATTGAGATTTTTAAAGACTCTATAATAGTTTTGGTATAATCAATAGAAACTTTATACTTTTCAAAAGTCTTTAAAAGTTTCGGTATATTTAATTAAAACTTTTTAAAAGTCTCTAAAAATCTTATGATAATCAAAATTTTAATGACTTTTAAAATCTATTATAAAAGTCTTCAGGGTAATAATTTTAAAGCAAATAGTACAAAAAGTTTATTACTTATTTTTCCTACTTCTTAATTATATTTGTTCTCTTTCCATTTTTCTTTCTTTTTTATTGTTTCGCTTCACTCTCTACCCAAAAAATAATAATAATAATAAATAAATAAATAAAAATGTTATTAAAAATTCTCGTAATATTTTTTTAATCCAATTTTTTTATGTAATTGATCAATTTTGTAATAAAATTTTATATTAAAAAAGACTAATTTGTCATTAAATTTTAAATATATTACATGAAATATTATATAAATTTTTTTTTTATATTTTAATTAATGTAACTTATTTTTTTATTACATGGGTGAACGGGATGGAGATCAATTCTCGACCTTTTATGTGGGAATCCAAGTGATTTCTACTTTAAATGAATGTTTTCAAAAGTCATCCGAATTCTACAAAAGTCTATAAAAGTTTTAAAATGAAAGTCTAGAAATTTCACTAATTTCATATAAATCTATAGAAGTACCCGAAATCCACGAAAAGTCATAACTTAAAAAAAGTTTATAAAAGCCTTCAAAAATCTCGATTGAATAGACCCCACTAAAACTCCTTTGTGTGTGAGGGTGAGATTCAACTAACCTGGTAAAGGTGTATGAAGAGAATGAAAAGTCAGAAAACAAGCATCCAAATCTTCAAGAGTTGGTCCCATTGGTATCCTATAAATGGGATACATACAAATAAATATTTTTTTCATGAGAAAAACAAACATTACACATAAATTAGTAAATTGAAATATAAATAAGGCAAAAACATGATACCATGCAACAGTAAATTAGTAAATTGAAATATAAATAAGGCAAAAACATGATACCATGCAACAGAAATCCAACTGGAAGGTAGTAGATCACAGCTTCTGAGCATTTTTAGGAGAGCAAGATCACATATCTGTGACAATTTGAGCAAAGCATCAGTAAGGATAAAAGAAGAGAAACCTTAATGCTTAAAAAAAGTAGAATATGAGATCATGCATCAATTATCGGAACAAAAGCTGACCTTGTCTGCCAAAGGTTCCCGACAAGGTTGGTCCTGTTCAAGATACTCAAACAACAAGCGACTTTGTGAACTTCCGGAATCGCTTTCATCACTAGAAAAGCTTTCTTGATACGCCTGATCTCTCATGGACAATGGATATACTCTACAAGCATTATTACTTGTTTGGTGATGATAGCTCCGTTGCCCAATTGAATGGTTGAAGCTACATCTATCCTGTTCGCTACTTGAATCCCTAAAATAGTCACCATCACTTTCCTCTCCAAGTCTCCTGTTACATAAAGGGGAATAATCAGGACAATTAAAGAAAATCATTTAAATTTGCAGAAGGAAGAAATTATTCGGTGGATCAATTGATTGCAAAATTAAAGAAAGAAAGAGGGCTATGCTTACTAATAAATTTGATAAGTGTCAAGTTGACATGGTCAAGTTGTGGCGTAAACTTATGCATTAAAACTACTAAACAATAGATTATTGGGAAAAAAATATAGAGGCACCATACTCAAAAAGTCTATCATGTAATTAAGACGCGTATAAATGCAATTTTTCTTTTCTGATAGCAAATATAGTACGCAACTGCAACAAAGGAAAAGGATCACGCTTGTGTAGTGCATAGAGTTCAATTCATATAAGCGGAACCAAATGCTTTCATGCGCTATCGAGACGCAATGGGCGAACAATATATCAGAGGAGAAACCTATGCTTTTCACACAGGCAAGTGTCTTATCTTTTATCTATGCATGAAGTTATGCACAATATTTATCAAGAACTTCTATACACATCATGCCTCCAATCACTATGATATTGATCAAAGATGACAACTTTCAAGGATGACAACTTAGCATCTCTGGGACTTCAAACAAAGCCAAGTAACACGATTTTTAACAAAACATAAGATATGAAGAGAGAAGAGAGAGAGAGAGAGAGTGGAAAAGATTCAACCATGATTGAACATTGAGCAACTAGAAGAGAAAATACATCTGTCGACCACAAGAAGAAGAGAGAAAAAGAAAAAAGATTCACTGTTTCTATTTCCCTTTTTTTAGTTTTTGAAAATTTATTTCTATTTGCTTAACAAGTAAAAGATTATTGAAAAGCAATAAAATGAGAATAAAAAAACCTATAACAAGATAATCCTTATGAATGCAAAAGATTTGACATACACTATAATATAAATTTAGTAGTTCCACCTTATTAAGTATTTCCCCTTGATCAGCCTATGCTAAAACATGCATGCATTCTCAGAAATCATATACATTCCAAACTGGGAGCAATTTTCCTTCTATTTTACTATGTTATCGACTCTATATATTGAAGACTGAGAACCTCATTGGAAGGGGTTGGATGAGATAATGCCTAACAGATATCTTAGCACAACCAAGTGATGTTATAATCTAACTAACTAACTCAAATAGATGACACATTGTAACTGTTCTATCAGCAATGAGTACATTGCCAATTTTCACCTCAGGCACTCCAGTTCATAAATTGTATTCATAATTAAATAAACTTCTCATCCACGTAATGAAAGTTTGAAATGAAACCTGGATCATACATTAAAACTAGTATTTCTACAACCAAATTTTTATGTAAATGGACCCGCACATGACCCATGCCTACACATAAAATGATCTATACCTGGCAATGTAATGGAAATTATTTTATCACATCAATATCATCATTAGCAACACTGAGGCTGACACATTTACACTCAGTGACTGTTTTACACTTACGCTAAGTGATCTTGATTGAGCTACCAAATCAATGATGATCACATAACCCATCAAATCACATCCTTAATAGCATATACATGGTCAAACATCAGAATAACTCTTGATCCATAAATCCAGTAGTAAGGGAACGAGCTAAAATTCTCCCATCTAAAGTAATCTGAGCAAAGCCAAAATACACTTCCTCAGTCCAGAACTCTTTCGATTGCCTTCTAGTCATTCTAGAAACAGATATTTAACCACTGTTATTGACAGTATCCTAAAAGATATTACAATGACACAAGCACAAGAACACATCACTAACAGGTTTTATGCACTTTTACTAGCAAATATTACATGTGTTCAAAGTTTTATCCGAACATCTAACATTCTTATAAAATGAAACACAAAAGCAAGCCAGTAGTTCTTTCTTCTTTCATTTCTACATTTTTGACAAATAGATGAGGTCTGGTTATACTCATAGTCTAAATTGAATCTAGGAGGAAAATAAGGTACCTTGAATTTTCCATACTCCTTGAAGGGTCAACATACAATTGTATACCCGATAAATAGGGAACATAATATTGGACCACAAGGTCACTGTCATTCATTATCAATCGCACTCCTGCATCATATACACTCCATTCCTTGAATGACTCCCACAAATCGGCTAGCACAAAGTACGGTTGACAATTCTCATTGCTAGTTCTCCATTCCTTCAATGCTGTCTGTTAATATTTTCAAATAGATTGAATCAAACCCATGGTAATTAACCAAAAATAATGAAGTAACAATAAACTAATGATATTTTGAATTAGTCAGCAAATTAATACTAATTTTCTTCAGAGAACAAAGAGGTGGTTACCATACTTCAAGAAAAATTTACCATCTCCAAAGCATATTTCAGCCACAATCACTTACATGTTGCTATAGCAACATTAAAATTGCAATAACTTCTAATAACTAAACATAAGAATTGGTAATCATTAATAAACTAATGAAGTCATATTTTCAATATATCATTCATTAAAATTTTGATTCAGTAAACTACCCAAAACAATTGGCAAAGCAAGAAAAAATTGATGAATTCATATTTTCTCCATGACCTGGTCAATTCAACTAGACACTAGCCATCTATTTTCATTATTCAAATTTTGAAGTTTCATAATAAAATAAAGCATATGATCATCCATATAACTGTTGTACGAGTTTCAACCTTTCACATCCATTGGTAAAAAATTAATATGAAAAATAACAGCCAGACATTTTAAAGTGATTTAACTACTGTATTAAAAGTTCCTAAATTTCGTATTTTCAATAGATATTACCACATTTCTCTTAATTATTGAAACATTGCTAGACAACACAGAAAAACACTTCAACAAATAGTTAAAAAACTAAAACGTTCGGACTAAATAAATACTTTGGAATAAACACTATTTAAACATGGCCAGTGAAGTAATTAACAAAACATGCTAAATCCATAGAATCTGCAAACTTTCAGATTAATTACCACTGACAATAAATTCAAATCTTTTTAACGTAAACCACTTCTAATTAAGGGAAAGTCCAAATAATTCATATATATCAATTAAACCTTTGATAATCGTTGAGCCGGCACCGAGGGTGTTATTGACTCCAGGAACCGTTCCAGATTACACGAGGACGACGGTTCAGACATTGGCAAGGCAGCAACCCCCTTGGTCTTCTCCGAGAGTTTTATATATGCGATTAAACGTGAAATGTATATATAGAGAGACTGGATGGAAAGAAGAAGATGCGAAGTGAGAACGGAAAATTGGACTATGATGTGGATAAGGACAAAGGTGGGGTGCGTCGGTGTGCTTGTTTATTACGCGCTGTGAATGGGCGGCTATAAGAGATTAGTGGAAATGACGTCCTGCCACTTCACTTATATTTAAAATTATTCCGACAGTTTTATTAGGAGTCATTTATTACATGGAAAAAGTAGAGTTGGGGTCCTCAATCAATTGAAACTATAGCATATAGGTCCAGATCTAAATTTTTGACAGCACCAAATCCTAACCTTTATTTTTGTAATGTTTGGGTAAACGGTCAAACTTTTCTTAAAATTACAAAATTTACATTATGTATGAAAAAATGATTGGGGAGAAAGGATTTTTTTGAAAAATGTGTGGTTAAAAAAGAAAAAAAATTGAATTTAAATGTAATATTATTTGAAAAATATATGATTGAACAAAAAGAAAGAAAGAAATGTATTAAAATTAAAATGGAGCCCAAACAAGGACTATAAGGTATTCTTGCTACATTTGTAGTAGGTCAAGGACTCCTATACATGAAAATAGTCTCCTAAATATTAGTACTTAACTTATGCTAAGTATCGGATGACGTAACACATTAACTACCAACAAATGTAAACGATTTGAAACTTCCATCATCTCCCTTCACTTATTATAGTTTATCATGTCACTCGAAGTTTAATATAAACTAAGTACAAGTGCTTAGGAGAATACATGTACAATTATAATATTTAGAGTTATTCCCATATCTTAAAAGAGTGACTTTGTGTTGGCACCATTTAGAGGTGGCAATGGGTCGAGCCGAGCCCTTAATCCCACGAGCTCGGCTCGCGCTCGTGGCTCGTTTGGGCGAGCTCGGCTCGGCCCACGAGCTCATGGGCTCGTCTTTTTTTTATTTTTTTAAGTGTGAAAGTGTTAAAAATAAAAATATATTGTTAAAAAACTATGATTTCTTGACCATACAAAAAGTGTTAAAAAATAAAAATGTTAAAAAATAAAAATAATTTAACAAAAACAATTTTTTATTTTTTTTAGTTATATCATATGATTCATATTGTAATACTTTTTATAAAGACTAAAATATTTATATAATAAAGACGAATTATTTTTTGAAATACATTTACAAAAAATATATTTTTTTGATTTCTTTTTAAAGTTAATAAAATATAAACCCTCTTCTTTTATCCGGGTTTGAGATCGGCTACATCAATTTTAGGTAGGCGGAGTTAAAAATTGTACACGAAAAACTTGTTGTAACGTGTACAATTTTTTAAAGAAAATTAAATTTAACGATTAAAAAATAATGAAATTTCGATTAATATAATTAAATCAAATATTACTTATTTGACGACATGCAATTTCAGCGTATTTATCTTGTAGTCGAAAATAAGCGTCCTGTCAATCCTTCACGCACATTAACGCTTCCAAAACATCTTCTTTCAGTCGGCTCCTGACATCGGTCAAAACCCTTTTACTTGCTCTAAAAGTAGACTCCGAAACAACAATACTAAGAGGAGGTGTCAGCAAATCTTTCGCAATTGTAGAAACAATTGACCAACGTCTTTCATACTTTCGCCAAAATTCAATTACTTCTTCGAACTTTTTTTAATTGTTATGTCTTCTGTCTGTTGGCATATTATGATTAAAGTAATCAATTAATTCGGCAGGCATCACATTTTGAATTTCGATCGATGTTTGATGAGATGCAAATGTAGACGACATGGCACTAGATGAACACGTTGTAGTTGCATCATATCTAAATTTATTAATGCCTTTAAATAAATTCATTATTTTCGCAGCATCTTCTTCAGTTTCAGCAGAAGGAGTACGTGCAACAGAGGGTACCCAACTAACATTCGCACACATTCTTTCCGCATATAAATCATACATTCCACATAATGTTTACTCTAAATTCTTATAAGTGATAGGTGTATCAAGTTTAAAACTTTATTGATTTGATCAATTACGTATTTAGCTCCCGAAATATTATATCGGGGATCCATTGCGTATGCTAAACGAAATAATATAGGCAGTTCTTCCCAATATTTTCTAAACTTTAATTCCATAGTAATTAAAATTTCACTAAAAGCAGGATCATTTTTATATTTATAAAATGTTCTTGCAATTATATAAAGGTGTTCAAGCATCATACAGCTTGTGGGATAATAAACGCCAGATAAAATCTTTATGATCTCATAAAAAGATGTCAAAAATCATTTAACTTTCAAAGTTAAAATCCAATCGGATTCATTTAACATACCATCGTCATCACTTCTAACATGTATATTATTATAAAAGTCAGTTATTAAATTTTCGAAACCTTCACATGATTTTAATAACAAGTATGTAGAGTTCCATCTATGACATACGTCGCTAACAAATGTTTTAGCAGTTGTCACCCCTAGTTCGGCACAAAAATCTTCAAATACTTGTTTTCTACTAGGAGAAATCGTAATATATATTAATGCATTCCTAATTCTTTGAATTTCATCCTTTATATGTTTTAAACTATCTTATACAATTAAATTTAAGATATGACACACACAACGAATATGAAATAAATACCCACCAAAATCAGGTTGAAGTATCCTACACAATTTATCGATGACTACCTTATTAACACTAGCATTATCAAAAGGAAAAGATCGAATTTTAGTCTCGCAATGATATTCTCTAACAATACTAATAATAGCATTATATATATTATTAGCATTGTGAGAAAACTCAATAATTCTAAAAATAATAATTTTCTTATGCATGCACCAAAGTGGATCTATATAGTGTGCAGTTGTAACTATATATGCTCTTTTATTAACCCATTCTCATATATCAGAAGTTAAAGATATAACACCCTTATATTGTTGCAAATCCATAATTAATTGTTGTTTTGAATTATTGAAATAATTTATTGTATCAGCACGAAGAGTGTTTCGACTTACCCTGACGTACCTCGGTTATAGATATTCTTTCACGAACGAGACGAAGTGTTGGTTGTCTGCAATAGCCAGAGGCAACTTAGTGGCGACAACAAATTTCACCATTCCGGTTCGAGTATTGTCCTCCGAATACACCCATGTGGATAGGGGTGAAGTTGTAGAACCGGCGTCTGGACTGCCAAATTGCAATTGTGTTTGACCAGCTGGAAGAAATCCATGTCTGGCCGCACATGCTTTGTAGTGACGGTTGAGATGGGTGGTACCAATTCCTTTTTGCCATGCAAATCTTTGTTGGCAGTATTTACATACTGCTTTAGATTTTGCAATACCATCGACGACTTTTCCCGTTGAAACCAACTTAAAGTGATCCCAACATTTTACTTGTTTTTTGGCCTTTCGCTTTTCCCTCGCATCTGGGATATTTAATTCAACATCTTCATCTTCATGTTTCACTTCGGGAACGTTAATATCATCCAAATCAATTAGATTGTGGCTTCCATGACCGTGAATGTGAACATCTTCAGGTATCGGTATGTCATTTAGACCGGCAAATTCATTTGAAAATTGACTTTGCGACGTCGTAGGCGATTCTCCATGATGTGGCAGTGGCTCACATCCTGTATCGCACAATCTCTCAACAAATGAGCGTTGATCCATTTGTTTGATTATTTATGATGAAATCTTAACTAGATGAATATAAATGTAGTGAGATTGTGAGAATTGAGAATTGGATGAATTGAAATTGTAACTAATATACTGTAAAAATTAAATTGATATTGTATATTTTGTAACACAACTTTCAACTGCACAAGAGAGTAAAAAAAAAACTCGATAATTGATATAATAAAAAAGAGTTGAGAGGATTGTAGACTTGTAGTAGCAAGATATGAAAAAAATTTGGGGGAAAGGGGGGTATTTATAGTAGAAGAAGGGGGGAATAAATAAATAAATTTCAGTGATCGTTCTGATCACTGAAATTTTTTCAGTGACCAGAATGGTCACTAGGACGAGCCAGGAGCCAGCTCGTGGCTCGCCTCCCGTCTGGCCCACTCGGCTCGTACTTGGGCTCGTGATTTTACGAGCCCGAGCTGCCCACGAACCTCCTTTCACGAGCCAAGTCGACGAGCAGCTCGACTCGTTTGACATCCCTAGCACCATTCCTATTGATGTGTGCCAAGTTACTATTTTATGTCTTTCTCATTTTTTTTAAAGTTATTGTTTTGACTTTTTCGGGACCGAATACGATGTCAATCACCTCCCCCTTTTTTTAACCACAATACAACCTTGTTTAACTCATTTCATTAGAGGGGGAAAAAAAAAGCCAACGTTTTGCTATAATTTTCCTTTTAAAACCATTCCAACATTAAATGCACCGTCTGAATCTTTATATATATGTGTGTGCGCGCGCGCGCTTCTTATGAACAGAAGTGTTACAACGCAGAAATGAATTTCAATCCGTAGTGTATTCGGGTGATTATGTTTGATGTAAATTGATGTTTAACACAAATAATTTTTTTATATCTACTCTATTACATAGTCAACTATACTATAACACGTGCCTTGCACGTGCGTCTCACTGGTACTTAAAAAAAAATCTTTATTTAAGTTACTTTCAAATTGCAACTCATTGTGAAATAAATTTTCGAGCATATGATAGTGTGTTTGAATAAGGAAAAAAATAAATAAGCTAGATCTTAATTATCATAGATAACGTGGTAGAAGCTCACATTCGAAAGAAAGAGCAAAACGGTTGATAACTATTTCTCATGGGCAAAATCTTTGTCAAATTTTCCATTGTCATTTTAACAATATAAATGGGGATGAGGAAAAACGAGAGGAATATAAATAAATTTGTGGGAAGATTCATAGTAGAGCAAATATGTATATTCATGCTGTATTAATTTACTAATTTAGCCTTTCATCAAATAAAAAACTAATTTTCTGTAAAATGGTTATTAAAAAATTTCTTGAGTTGCATGTCAAAATCAGAGTAAATTGATTGGCAATATTTGGCAAAGGCTCAATCAACATTCTTATCAAATAAAAAACTAATTTTCTGTAAAAAAAAAAGGTTCAATCAACATTCTTATCAAATAAATA